AGGCCTGAGCCGACGTAGTACCTGAGAGAGCAGATTCACTAGCATCTGGGGCAGCAGACGCACTGGCACCTGGGGCAGCAGATGCACTAGCATCTAGAGCAGCATCCTCACCAGCTCATAGAGCAGTAGCCTCAATGACCGGGTCAGGCGGTACACACAAGTAAGAGTCACCCGCAACACAAGTATCAACAGCATACATGGCAGCAAGAATAGCATCAAAATCAAGATCAAAGATAGCAACCCCGGCTTTAGACAGATCTCCTCAGCGAGGGATCTCTCACGCCTTAGGGAATTGGCAACGCCACGCCTCCGTCAAGCGACCAAAGCAGCGCTGGGTGGAGTGCGGGCCTTCGCACTGCTCAAAAGCTCGATCGCCGGTACGGAGGACGTAAGCGAAGGGCCAAAACCCCCACCGCGTTGACGTGCAGCGTAACACTCACAAAGCTGCTGAGGGGAGAGGGTCACACCACTCCGCTGCTGCTGGCGCGGACCACCACCTGAGCCACTCCTCTGCGCAGAGTCATGACCCGCTCCAGCACCACCGCCGCCGCCGCCTCCGCCGCCTCCGCCGCCTCCTCCACCTCCGCCACCTCCGCCACCTCCACCGCGTTCGCTCTCTCCGCCACCTCCACCGCCCCCGCCTCCTCCACTGCTGCCGCCGCCGCCGCCACTCCCGGCACCACTCCCACCACCACCCCCACTCCCTCCATTGCCTCCACCACCACCTCCACCGCCCCCTCGAGCCCCTCCTGTGCCCTTGCCCCCCTTGCCCCTGCCAGCGCGGCGTTTCCCGCTCGGGGCAGACGCAGCGCCGACCGACTCGAAACCAACGAGGTCGGCCGCAGCAGAAGAGGCAGCAGAGGGCAAGAGGGGGAGGGAGAACACCCCTCAAAGATGGGGGTGCGAGGGTCACCAAGAGAGGCTCCTACAGCGACTATGCTCTTCTCTATCGCTAGGAGGGCCTTCTCGAGGAGGTCAACGGTGAGAGTGGTGGGGCAAACTGAGAGGAAGTGGTCCCTGACTACGCGGAGAGATTCAGGGAGCCGGGTGACTATGTAGTAGAGGGTGATGTACATGGGGGGGGGGGGGTGGTTCTTGGCGCAGAACTCAGCAGGAAGCGCAGCGCAGTAGCGAGTGTCACTAGTGCGGAGGTGCGTAATGAGGTCAGCGACTATGGGAAAGGCAGCAAGGTCAGGTAAGAGGTACGGTAGCATGAGGCGGCTCAGTGCAGTAGTGGCATGGGAAGAGTAGCATGCAACTACAGCGTCGTACAAGGCCTGAGCACTCTTGTACTGGCTAAAGTGTGCACACTCAATGGTCGGTAAGTGGCGGCGCATAGCAAGGCGAGCAGCAGCATGGTGCGTGGCCCACTATGAGCGAAGAGTGGCGTCAGCATCAGCAGCAGGGGCAGGAGAGGCACCAGAAGTGAGGTCAAACAGGGAGAGGCCGTCTGCCCTATCGCACTACAGGAAAAGCTGCAGATCATCTACCCAGACCTCCATGTCAACTGCCCGACCCTCAGCGTCAAAGGTGAGAACGCTAGGGGAGGCCATAACAGCAGTAGACAGGCAGTGAGTACAGTGGGGCAAGGCAGTGCAGTGGCAGAGACTTTGCTCTTACCAGGCAAGTGGGGCTGTCGGGCGGCTCAGCGGTCGGGCCTTTCGGCTGCTCGGCAGCTCGGCGGCTCGGCGGTCAGGCGGCTCGGCTGCTGGGCGGCTCGGCGGTCGGGCGGCTCGGCTGCTGGGCGGCTCGGCGGCTCGGCTGCTGGGCGGCTCGGTGGTCGGACGGCTCGGCTGTCGGGCGGCTCGGCTGCTGGGCGGCTCGGCGGCTTGAGCGCTGGGCGGCTGAGCGGCGACGGGGCCGTGGAAGGGCGGCGACAAGGCCGCTGAAAGGGCGGCGACGGGCGGCGACAAGGCCGCTGAAAGGGCGGCGACGGGCCGCTGAAAGGGCGGCGACGCGCCAAGGGAAGGGCGGCGAAGGGCCGCTGAAAGGGCGGCGACGGGGCCCGCTGAAAGGGCGGGCGGCGACGGGACCACTGAAAGGGCGGCGGTGGGGCCGTTGAAAGGGCGGCGACGGGGCCCGCTGAAAGGGCGGGCGGCGACGGGGCCACTGAAAGGGCGGCCGTTGGGCCGCTGAAAGGGCGGCGACGGGGCCGCTGGAGGGCAGCAACAGGGCCGCTTTAGGGCGGTGTCGGGGCCGCGGAAGGGCGGGCGACGGGGCCGCTGTAAGGGCGAGCGGCGAGGCCGCGAAAGGGCGGCGACGGGGCCGTGGAAGGGCGGCGACGGGGCCGCTAAAAGGGCGGCGACGGGGCCGCTGAAAGGGCGGCGACGGGGTCGTAGGAAAGGGTGGCGACGAGGCCGCGTAAGGGGCGGCGCGAAGGGGCCGCAAGGGCGGCGTGACAGGGCCGCAAGGGCGGCACGACGGGGCCGAAAGGGCGGCGCGACAGGGCCATTAGTGGCTGCTAGAGGCCGCTAGAGGGGGGACGACTCGGGGCGCGACTCGGGCAGGGGCCAAGCGTGCTGCTGGCAAGAAAAAAAAATTGGTGGGCCCTATGAACAGTTCCCACGAGGGAACCAGCTCTATACCATGTGAAGAATGAAACGAGAGAATGATTGAACTATGAAAGAGTTGGGTACAAGTACTAACCCTAATTGGGTTGTACCCCTTATGGGCTACCCCACTATAGCCTACACAAATGTATAAGCCATAATGTTCTGACATGTGTACGTCGGGTTTGGTTCCAAAGACTCGCGACGAGGGGTCCTTTCGTCGAGTTGTTCTTCCGGTGAGTAGTGGGGCGGTGACTCGGTGATGCAGGAGTTTGTCAATCTCGCCATACAGCTGACGATATTTCTTGTTCCTTGTAGAGATTGTGTCGTCGATGTCGTTGAAGACTGCGTTTGACTGGTGGGCTGCGCCTGCGTGGAGGCCACTTGACTGCTTGAGGGTCGAAGTTGACGTTGCGGTGGCGTTGACTGCAGCTGATTTGGGCAGTATGTGCGAGGATGTCCTGACGTCTTGTAAAGGTGGCAGAACGATGGTACGTGCCGTTGTGGTTGATGCTTATTCTGTCGGATCTTGTTGTTGTGGTTGTTGTTGTTGTACCGTCGTTGAGTGTGAAAAGCGAACTCAGGTACTAGCGTTATTCGGCGTGATTTTCCGCGTGCACGCCCATGTCTTGCTGCTTGGCGTGAATTTCAGCTCAAAATGCTGCTTCAGAGATCTTCTCGTGAGCTCGGAGAAGGGCTCGGGTGGAGCGCCAATGGGGACCAAGTCGAGCAATGATGACAGTGACAAAGGCTTCTTGAGATATCGCTCCTCCGCATCGAAGGAGTCTGTCGCGCAGTCCGCGACAACAACTGATATACGCCATCCCTTTTTCACCAGGTTTCATTTCCACTATTGTCACCTATGCCATTAACCGGCTCTGATTGACGCTGTCTGTTGCTTGATACATGTTCTTCAAGTGGTTGTACGCGAGCTCGGCATAGTTGTCGTATCCCCGATAAAACCGGATCTTCTGCTGTTCGTTTGGTGTTATGCTGCGTAACGGAATCGTGTACGCCATCAGTGACTGATACGTACATTGCTGCTTGTCATACTGCGTTCTGTGCGTTGGGTATGGCAGGGAACCGTCGTAGAATCCGAGGACTTGCGCGCCTTCCATCATCAGCTCGAACTCGAATGACCAGGTATAGAAGTCTTTCCTGTCGAATGGTCTCGATGTCTGCAGCTTTAAGACGTGTGCAAACTGCGATTGAACCTGAAGTGCGTCCAGTGTCTTTTCTTGTCAAGGTGAAGGCTGCTGATGCGGCATGAAGCTAATGGAGCCGCGTTGATGCTCGTACGGAGCGAAGGTGGGTTGCTGCTGATTTCCGCGCGCGTAGGATGAGCCATCAAGACTCATGGGCGTGACACCATCGTTGTTGTCGCTGTTGTTTGACTGCGCAGGTGCTGTTTGCTGGTGCTGTTCGTAGAAGGACATGAAGGAGAAGAACTTCTCCATCATGTTTGGGTCGAAGCCGGTCGTTTGGTTCGTAGGAGTTTTTGTGGACTCAGCAGCTGGTCTTGTTACCGTGCCTCCCTCTGTCTGTTGGCCAGAGGCTGGAGGTGGAGTAGGAGTAGTGCCGGGAGAGCCGTTAGAGGAGCTTCTCTCCTTTTGTGTTGCCATGTCTTCTAATATTGTAGGAGTTGGAACGAGGTGGGGTTTTGCCTTGTCTGCTCTCATACCATGTTGGGCTGAGAAAAGCCCTTAGGATCGTTCAAGGCTAAGACTCCAATAAGTATATTGTATTGCGGAAGCGTTTAGTGATAAATTGTTGAACCACCTTGCCTTGGTGTGTGAGGGCAAGATAGATTGATTATGATGAAGTAATACAAGCTTTTCTAAGATTACAAGGAATATGAAAGGATGCAATGATTGTTTCACTATTGTTGTTGCGGTTCGATACAGTGACGACTCGGGCAACTGCTCAATACCGAGTCAGTTGTTTGTCCTTGCTGTCGCGCTGTATTTGTCTAGTCAAAGGTCGCTGACCTTTGGCCTTCGCATAACCTCCAGCTGTTACTTTTCTGTCAACCTCTTCAGTTGACTCGCCATTGCTGCGCTGTAGTTCGCCTCGTTAGCAGTCTGATGTTACGACACATAAGAAGCGTTGATTACTTGTTTCCAACACGGGGCGGGGCAGGGCATGGCCTGCTGAGGAACGGGGGGCAGGGCACGGCCTGCTAAGGAACGGGACAAGGCGGGCTAGGCTAGGGAACGGGGTGGGGCGGGCTAGGCTAGGCTCGGAACGTTATCTACTCGTGATACGGTACCATCTCAAAGTTAGAACAGTGAAATGTATGTGATTAAGAAGATGGGAGATACAAACACTAACCCTAGAAAGTCTTGTACTCTCTACAGTGTTACTGACTAAAGGCTATCAAGATAATGTACAGCATTTGACAAATGACACCTGCCCAGCCAGATTCTACTCAGGCAATAAATGCCCGTCGAGCTACACCACAAACTCGCGACTATCCTCTGAACCCAGCATTGCCAGCCGTGTGCCCAGTGCACCGCCACTGCCCTGCCCATCCCATATGCCCGTGCCACTCCCCCAGAACAGCCCGCTCCATCTCCCTATGCTCTGCCCCCCACCCTCTCGTCTCTCTCCGCTGTCCCCCTCTCTGCTATCTAGCCTTTCTCCTGTCCGCTCCCCTTGCAGCAGGGAGGCTCGAAGGGGCTTGAGGGTTCGGAGGGCCGCAGAGGGAGTGGGGCGGGAGGAGGGAGAAGGGGAGGTGCAGGAGAGGGCGAGGAGGAAGAGGGGGAGGAGGAGGGAGTGAGGGGGTGGAGGGTGTGGGAGGAGGGGGTCGAGGAGAGGAGAGACGTTGCCGGCTGTCACATGCTGCTGGGCCTGAGGGTTGGGAGGACGGGGAGAGGGAGATGCGGGCAGGGGAAGAAGGGAAGGGGAAGGTGAGGAGGATGAATAGGAAGAGAGCGGGAGGAGACAAGGGGGATGGAGGGGCAGGGCACTGTGAGCTTGAGACTTAGAGGTTTCCAATGTGAGTTGTGTGCTCTGATGCCTGGCTGGCTTGCAAGGGGCGAGTGCATGGTCAATGCACATTGCGCACGCACCATCATCACAACTACACCATGCTACGCTACGCCATGCCATGCCATGCTATGCCACGCCACGCCATGTCATGCCACTATGCCACGCCACATTATGCCATGCCAGCCACACCATGCCAGCCCATTCCCTGCCACGCCATGCGACACCACACCATACCATGCCATGCCATGAGCAGCAGGGCTGCACGCACCCAGTCAGAGATGTGGACGCGCTGCCCATCCACATGCTTGTAGGGAGCATCCCAACCCGTGAGCAGCTGCAGCAGCAGCACCCCCACGCTGGCAAGGACAGACCGGAGGAAAAGGGGCAGAGGGAGGGCGAAAGGGTGAGGTAGGAGAGATGAAATAAGCAGCTGTTGCAGCAGCACTCCCACACTGGCAATTGCAGAGAGAGTGGAGAGGGCAAGATGATGGTGAAACATGTGGGCCCCACCTGAACATGTGGGCCCCACCTGAACATGTGGGCCCCACCTGAACATGTGGGTCCCACCTGAACATGTAGGCCCCACCTGAACATGTGGGCCCCACCTGAACATGTGGGCCCCACCTGAACATGTGGGGCCCAACTAAGCATGTGGTCCCACCTGAGCATGTGCGCCTCACCTGAACATGTCTGACATGGCAGAAGCAATGTCAGAGTGCAGCACAGCGGGATCCACATGCCCCTCCGTGCACCGCAACACTCTCCGCTGCTTCAACCCTCCACTGCCACTGCTGCTGCTGCTGGTGCTGCTGCCACTCCTCTTGCTCTCGCTCGAACTCCCACTGTGGCCACTCTTGCCACTGCTGCCAGCGCTGCCACTGCCGCCAGCTTCGCCACTGCTGCCACCCTTGCTGCCTCCACCTTCCCCACTCCCGCTCGTCCAGGAACCTTCCTGATGCCCGCCCATGTCCACGTGCACGCGCTGCCCCATGCGCACCGCACTCCAGTCGCCCACCCGCGCCTGGCAGGGGAGGGTGTGGAAGAGGGGAGTGAGAGAGGTGAGGATTGTGCAGGCAGTCATGGATGCGGCATGATGCTATCTTGGCAGCAATTGAGGGCAAGATAGAGTGGGTTGAGGGCAGACATGATGAAATGCCAAATCAGATTTTACTCGACCGTTGTCTCGAGTGAGACACGAGTCGAGTCCACTAAAACTCGACCCAAGTTGGAATGTAAGCTTGGCGGGAGAAAGCGTATCGCGTTTATAGGTTTGCAATACGCTTGGAATGCGCTCAGGATGCCGTGAGGAGGGATAAGATGGAGAGACACTTTAGAGGAGAGTAGTCCTAGGCTAAGCCGATTTCATCAATTTTACCTTCCCCCCACTTGAAGGGTGCATCGAAGTCGATTCGAGGGACAAATCAAAATGATTCGACCCAACCATGTCTTCTTGTTAGAATCCGTGAGAAAAGATAAACGATGTTTCGAGTAAGGAGCCAAGAGCCTCTATATTGACAACGGAAGTGAGCTAGACTACAAGGGTTGGCACGAACTACTAGGAGTGATCGTAGCTTTGCTTAGTTCCTTGGTGCTTGCTCATATACGGGAGAAATCGGCAAGAGTTGCACTAGGCAAAGTTGGTATTACAGAATGATTGAACAAGCAATGACAACAATGACTACATCAGGCACCTAGCAACTTTGCAGCTAGCCTAGTCGACCGCCTGCCAGTGTTGCGTAGAGGAGCCGCGCCAGCACTGCAGAAGAGCGACCTGCCAACACTGCAGGTCAACGGCGTGCCAACGCTTCAGCAAAGTGGCTGTCCAGCGTTGCCCCGTAGAAGACAACAGTGCGCACACTCGCAGATGCGCGCAGACGATTGGCCCGACTCGCATCATTGTGCATCCGTCAGCTGTTGCCTGCGCCTGACGAGCCACATCGACTTCAGAATACCAACCCGAAGTTGCCTTCGCCACCGCGATACCCCCTGGTCGACGGACCCCTTCCGTCGACCAGAGCTGTCAGCGGTTGTCGTCGAGCTCCCCTCGTCGACCGCTGCTCACTTGTCAAGTCGACGGACTGCTCCGTCGACCTCCCGGTCAAACTGCAGGTCGACGGACTGCTCCATTGACCTCCCGGTTGGACTGCACCTCCTGGTCGACAGCCCACCCGTCGCCCAGACCAGTCAGTTGCAGCTGTCGAGCTCCCTGGTCGAGAGCAACACCACAGCGGTCCCCTGCAGCTCGACGAAGCCTGTCGAGCGGCTCTCCCACTGTGAACGGTCGGCTGCTTCTCCCGTACATCCGACCAAGCCGTCGGCGCTGCCCACGTGAGGGCGGGGCCAACACTCCACTCTCGTTAACATATAGTACTTGCTCTATAGTAAGGAGCCAAGAGCCAAGATGCTATTTACTTTCTCTATAAATGAACAAGAGGAGCGAAAGGGAAAGTTTCCCTGTTGGCCGCTAGGCTGGCCAATGGGTGAGCTTGCTTGTAGCCCACGCAACCATAAATGCGAATTGGTTGGGTTTGGTGCAGCTAAGGACCAAAAGTTAGCAAATGCCAACCAAGGACCAAGCTTCAGGACCAATCTTCACCAACTATAAGTTGCGGTTGGTGAATACACTCAACAACCCACCAATATATGAAATTGCTACATGTCAAAATCTAGCCTATGGATGTAGAAAAATAAGAGATTACGACAGAATCTGCACTCGAGACTTTCCCAAGCCAAGTAATAAAAATTCGACTCAAGTGTTTACTGGATTCGAATGAACAAGTTTAGTTGAGAGGCAAGGCACCCATCTCCCAAGCAGCAGCAACAATCACCTCCCAATCACTTTGAGTAGGGCAAAACACACACTCACCTCCCAGGCAACAGTGAGCAGCACATTGGAGGGCTTGAGGTCGCCGTGCACCCACCCGTGGCTCTGCACCGCCTTGAGAGTTTTTAAGACGTCTCAAAAACTCTCTTTTATCACGTCACTCACCTCCCAGGCAACAGTGAGCAGCACGTTGGAGGGCTTGAGGTCGCCGTGCACCTGCCCGTGGCTCTGCACCGCCTTGAGCGCCCTCAGCACCCCCACCGTGATGCCCACCCGCTGCCGCAGGGACAAGGGGCTGCTGCCCGCCTGCGCGGCTGATTTGGGAGTCATGACATGACGGAGGTGAGGTGTGGGGATGGGTTGGACATGGTTCAATGGGTGGACTCAAAACTTGAGCGCCCTCAGCACTCCCACCGTGACGCCCACCCGTTGCCGCAGCGACAAGGGGCTGCTGCCCACTAGTGTGGCTGATGCACGAAGCAGGTGAGGTGTGGGGATGGGATGGACACGGTGCAAGAGGGTTGGCAGTGGGCAATGGGGAGTTCGCCCTGTGGGGTCAACAAAACAAGGGCAAGAGTTCACAAGGAAAGGAAGATTGTCGCAAGGAAACGAAGAGGGTCGCAAGGAAAGGAAGAGGGTCGCAAGGAAAGAAAGAGGGTCAAGAAGAACGGAAGAGGGTCACAAGAGAAGCAAGATGGTCACAAGGGAAGGAAGAGGGTCCACTCTTGTGTCCACACAATGCTGCAGCGATAATGGGGCTTGAGGGGCTGAGATGATTTGGGAGGAAAGGAAGGTGGGGTGCGCGAGGGATTACCTCGGTAAGGGAAAAACAAGGAAGGCGAAAAGAGGTGGTTGCGAGGGGCAGGCATGGGATGGGATGTGAGAGGAGAGGAGAGGAGATGGGAGGAGACGAGAAGTGAGGAGAAGCGAGGAGTGGCGAGGTGAGGAGAGGAGAGGAGAGGAGAGGAGAGGAGAGGAGAGGAGAGTGAGCAGAGGAGAGAGAGGAGAGGAGAGGAGAGGAGAGGAAAGGAGAGAGACGAGAGGAGTGAGGAGAGGAGAAAAGAGGAGAGGAGAGGAGAGGAGATGAGATGAGGGAGAGGAGGGGAGAGGAGAGGAGTGGATAGGAGTGGGAGGTGGAGGAGGACAGGTGGTGAGTGAATGGCATGGCGGTCCACTGTGAGCGCACCTGCCTGCAGCACTGCCTGCAAGCTGCCCCTCTCCATCCACTCATACACCAACACCTGCCCCTCCTCTCCCCCCTCCTGCCCGCCCTTCTCCTCTCCCTCCTCCTGCCTGCTCCCCTCCTCTCCCCTCTCCTTCCCACCCCCCTTCGCTCCCCTTTCCTGCCCGCCCCTTTCCTCTCCCCGCGCCCGCCCCTCCTGCATACCCCCCTCCCCTCCCCCCTCCCGCACTCCCCTCTGCCCTGCCTCTGGCAGCCCCTCGATGCCCCCCCCAGCCTGCCAGCTGCACCACCCCACGAGGCGGAGCACGTTGGGGTGCCCCACCCGCGCCAAGGCCAGTGCGTGGGCCTCCAGTGACTCCCACGGCGGCCCCCCTCTCATGCGCTTCACTGCCCACACGCCCCCCCGCCCCCGCGCCCTCCCCCTCCCTGCACGCATCCCCTGCTTCCTCTGCAACGCGCCCCCCTCCTCTCCCCCTTCCTGCTTCCCCTCTCCCCCGTCCTGCTTCCCCTCTCCCCCTCTTCCATTCCCACCATCGCTCTCTGCCTCACTCCTCTCCTCGCTCTTTCCCCCCTCCGCCCTCCGCCCCGATTCCCCCCATTCCCCCCATTCCCCCCTGTACACGTCACTCCACCTGCCTCCCCCCACCCTCCGCCCCTCTGCCCACCCATTGGTGGCCCTGATTAGGTCAGCAAGGGGAATGTGAGGGCAGGGGAGGGTGCGCCTGAGCATGGAAGGAGCTGGACGGGGAAGGGGGGAATGAGGGGAACGGGGGGAATCATGGGAATGAGGGGAACGGGGAATGAGGGAAAGAGGGGAATGTGAGGGCAGGGGAGGGTGCGCCTGAGCATGGAAGGAGCTGCAAGGGGAAGGGGGGAATGAGGGGAACGGGGGGAGCGGGGGAGATGAAGGGAATGAGGGGAGCGGGGGGGATGAAGGGAATGAATGAGGGGAATGAGGGGAATGAGCGGAACGAGAGGTGTAAATAAGGCGGCAAGTGAGTAGGACTCTTGAGCAGATGAAGGGGTGGGGAATATGGGGGGGCCACAAGAAAGGAAGAGACGCAAGAGAAAGGAAGAGAGGCAAGAGAAAGGAAGAGAGGCAAGAGAAACAAAGATATTAGGCGCTGTTGAAAGAGAGGTGCAGGAACCACATGAAACGAGGAGAAGGGTAGCATCAGCAACGGGGGGGCAGCATGCCACACACACACACACACACACACACACACACACACACACACACACACACACACACACACACGCACGCACGCATGCACAAAAATACACACAAGCACATGCAAACACACGTACACAGCTACTCACATCCACACACCCACCTACTCACACACACTCCCTCTCACCCCCTTACACACACACTCCACTCCACCCACCACTTGCTGGCATGGCGACACATGCCCCACAACAACACCCGCCCATCCATCACATCACATGCCTGCTTCATCCCTGCTCCCTTCCCCTCTGATACAAGCGTAGATTTGAGACGTCTCAAAACAGCACTTTTATCACGTGCCCCCACTACAAGACCCACCCCACCCATCCATCACATCATATCACATGCCTCCTTTATCCCCGCTTCCCGCCCTCTCCCCTGCCCACTCACTCATAACCTCCCCCTTCCGCGCCTGCCTGCGCCTCCACCACCACAGCCCCCATCCCCCCCCCCCCACCAGCACCACCAGCAGCAGCACCGCTGCACCCGCTGCTGCCCCGGCAATTGTGGATGGTGAGAGGGAGGAGGCGAGAGAGGGGGGAGGAGGAGGGGAGGCGACCAGGACTGAGATGATAAGGGGAGGAGGTGGGGGGAAGAGGGATGGCGGAGGGGGAGGAGGAGAAGGGGGAGGCGGTCTGGGGATTGGTGCTGGGGGGGAATAAGACAGGGGGATGGGATGAAGGGCTGGGGTGAGGTGAGGGATGGGTGGGCCGGGATGGGGGATGGGTGGGCATGTTTGAGTATGGAAGCGATTTGTTTTTAACCGAATGCGGAGATCAATGGGCGGGTTATATATTGGGGAGTGCAAACGGGGGGGTTTGCAGTGCGGATCACCAAAGCAAGGCTAAGTGTATGTATGGTTGGTTGGTTGGTTGGTGTGATTCTGACCGTTGATTGGGATACAAGTGGAGCAGAAAGTCGAACAGAGCCTGCAAAACATGGATGAACGGTCCTGATTTATTTCACAGCGTCCCTCCATTGGGCAGCCCACCCCACTATTAGGAAACTGACTGAAAGGCGGGGCACACAGAGGGCAGATGGGCGGGACACACAGAGGGCAGATGGGCGGGGCACACAGAGGGCAGATGGGCGGGACACACAGAGAGAGGAATCGCCAGATTAGCATCCTCTTTGAGTCCGGTATGTAAGCTATGATGCTCGGGTAGAATTTGACACCCAACTACTAAGTTACCCAAACTACTAAGTTTGGTTGCACAAACTAATGGAATGTCTGCCTTAGTGGCAGGTTGGGAACCCAACCGTGGCCCAATATTCTGGTGCCAAGGCTGGGTTGGGAGATTACTAGCTGGTTTTTGAAAATTCTCAAAAACCAATATTCTGGTGCCAAGGCTGGGTTGGGAGATTACTAGCTGGTTTTTTTTAATCCTCAAAAAACAATTTTCTGGTGCCAAGGCTGGGTTGGGAGATTACTTGAGCCCAAATCATCTTAAATCAACTTTGAACGAAATGATTAGGATCCGCAATGATTCTCCGACCCAACATATTCGCGGGGGCAATAATCATGGCCATTGGCCAAGATCCCTTTCGAGTCAACTCAAAATTCAGTTCTCCATTCCAACTTACTGGTGGGGCCCAAGCATCTTGTCCAAGAGCTTCCCACCCCTTTTTTCTCAGACCACAATGTATGCCCCTCCTATTCTGATCCAAATTATAAGTGCGTTTTTGCGATTCACCCAGGTATGTCATGTGGAAGGCACACATCAAGGTATGTCATGTGAGTAAACGTGTATCAAATTTTAAATATGAATATGTATGTACTCGTAGAGAAGAGGAAATCGCACAAGGTTACAAGATTCGTGAGGGCTCCAAAAGCGGCAGGGATCTTTCCTTGAACCTTTGTTCCAATCAATTCACTGAGTGGGACGCGGTTTGGGAAAGTGAGATAAGAGGGGAGCAAGCGTAAGGGGAGAAAGAGACTGGTCAGAGGAATGTGAGAGTGAAGCGAGGAGAGGGAGACAGCAAACATCAGTTTGACTCAAGTGAAGGCAAATGACTGGGGTGTAGGCACAGACATGGCAGGAGATAGAGTGGGCAGGAGATAGAGTGGGCAGGAGATAGAAGCAAAAATAGCAGGACGGGAGGGGAGGGGCACACAGGGCGGGGAGGAAGAGGGGGAGGGGCGCACACACATGCTAAGTTGGAAAAAAAAGCTCACCTGTACCTGCGTATTGAGTTTATACGCTACAAAAATACGTACACTGCGTTTTTTGTGTAAAAACGCGGGAAAAAAAAAAAAAAAACGTTTCGGCAGACCAGAAAAGAAAACCAGAAGCTGGGTGGGTTTGAATGCGGCTCATTTCTCCAATCGATGTCCATCCTTCTGTTTTGTTTTTACCTTGTTCCTACCGACCTCGTTCTTATCGACGAGCAGGCACCACCTTCGTGCTTTGCACCTCGGCCATCCTGCCTCTGAACCTTTTGAGACGTCTCAAAAATCCCCGCCTCTGAACCTTTTGAGACGTCTCAAAAATCCCCGCCTCTGAACCTAACAAACTGGCCCGGGATTTCATTTCATCTGCCCAGGCCAGCGCATGCTGTGCATACCACCGGATACTCCTCCCGCAGCGTTTGGCGTTTATACGCTAGCGCATAAACTGTGGAACGCTCATATTCCAACTTAGCGCAGAGGGTGGGGGAGGAAATTGGGGAGGGGCGCAGAGCACAGTGAGGCGACTGAGGGCTGTGAGGAAGCGAGGCAGCCGGCCCGAGATGGTACCTATAGCCATGCGATTAGGCGAGCAGCAGTCTAGGAAGAAAAAATTGAGACGTGTGGAAAGGGGGGAGGGGCGTACAGCACAGTGAGGCGAGTGAGGGCTGCAAGGAAGCGAGGCAGCCGGCCCGAGATGGCAGTGTTGCCGAGTAAACTGGGGCAGGGGGAATGGGGAAGGGGAAGGGGGAGGGGGGATGGGGAAGGGGAAGGGGGAAGGGGGAAAGGGGAGGGGGAAGGGGGAAATGGGAAGGGGGGAAGAGGCAGTGAGCAGGGGAAGGGGGGAAGGGGGCATGGGGGGAGGAGGGAGGGGGATTGGAGAAGGTGGAAGGGGGGAAGGGGAAGGAGGAAGGGGAAAGGGGGAAGGGGAGCGGGGGGCAAGGGGCAGGGGGGAGGGGGAGTGGAAAAAGGGAAAGTGGAAGTGGGCAGGGGGTAGGGGAAAGGGGGAGGGGGGGGAGGCCAGAGGAGAAGAAAAGGAGACATGGAAAGCAAAGCACCAAGGGATGAAGGGTATGGGAGTGGGACAGTCCCTGCCAGGGGATGGGATGGGATGGGATGGGATGGGATGGGAAACATACGCTTGTGAGGAGGAAGCGATCTACACGAGGGGATTCATTTCAGCAGCGGGCCGACCCGTCCCGACCCAGGCCGACCAGGGAAGACAAGGCCGACCCGACCCTGGCCAGGCACGGATCAGGCCTGGTCGACCTTACCTCGGGTCACATACATCCCACGGATTTGCATCCCGTCCTGAAGTTTTATGGAAAATGGAGGGGACAGATGTGACACAACAACAACACCCGACCCCAAGTCGGGCAACTAGACCCGCATTTTCGCACAGATTGGCAATTTCGCCTGGTGTTTTTACATGCCGAGAGGTTGTGGGCAGATGTATGTAATTTATCTACCCAAAAAAACAGGGGAAAAAAAAAAACAAAAAACAAAAAAGTGAGAGATTGCAGGAGAGGCAGGGTTCAGGGGCTGACAGATGCTGGAGTCTGGTGAGGCGGGAGAGAGCGCGAGGCAGGGATCCCGTGAGAAAGGGGTTCAAACTCAACACCCTGCCATGCACGTGAGAAAGGGGATCTGACTCAACACCCTGCCATGCACATGAGAAAGGGGATCTGACTCAACACCCTGCCATGCACGTGAGAAAGGAGATCTGACTCAACACCCTGCCAGGCTGCCATGCACGTGAGAAAGGGGATCTGACTCAACACCCTGCCATGCACGTGAGAAAGGGGATCTGACTCAACACCCTGCCATGCACGTGAGAAAGGGGATCTGACTCAACACCCTGCCATGCACGTGAGAAAGGGGATCTGACTCAACACCCTGCCATGCACGTGAGAAAGGGGATCTGACTCAACACCCTGCCATGCACGTGAGAAAGGGGATCTGACTCAACACCCTGCCATGCACGTGAGAAAGGGGATCTGACTCAACACCCTGCCATGCACGTGAGAAAGGGGATCTGACTCAGCACCCTGCCATGCACGTGAGAAAGGGGATCTGACTCAACACCCTGCCATGCACGTGAGAAAGGGGATCTGACTCAACACCCTGCCATGCACGTGAGAAAGGGGATCTGACTCAACACCCTGCCATGCACGTAAGAAAGGGGATCTGACTCAACACCCTGCCATGCACGTGAGAAAGGGGATCTGACTCAACACCCTGCCATGCACGTGAGAAAGGAGATCTGACTCAACACCCTGCCATGCACGTGAGAAAGGGGATCTGACTCAACACCCTGCCATGCACGTGAGAAAGGGGATCTGACTCAACACCCTGCCATGCACGTGAGAAAGGGGATCTGACTCAACACCCTGTCATGCATGTGCGTGTGGGGAGTGGGACGGACACGGCCAAAGAGGAGAAACAGCAACCAAGAAACAGCAAGCGAGAAACAGCGAGCAAGAAACAGCAAGCGAGAAACAGCAAGCGAGAAACAGCAAGCGAGAAACAGCAAGCGAGAAACAGCAAGCAAGGGAACATGGTCCAAGAAAAAACCATCAAGCGCAGCCCACTCTTGGGAACACTCAGACGCAAGAGAAATACCTCTCCCACTCTAATTCACTCTTGAAAAGGTGCAAAGAGGCGTGTGCAGCTCACAAGTACTCGAGGCGGGAGAGGGCAGCAACAGAGAAACAGCACCAAGAGACGATGGTACGAGAAGAACACTCAAGCACAGCACCTCGCTCACTCTTGAAAAGGTGCAAAGAGGCGTGTGCAGCTCACAAGTACTCGAGGCGAGAGAGGGCAGCAATGGTGGAGGGGATGCTCCCTGTGATGGCGTTGGATGGTGCGTAGCTGGTGGTGAACAATGCGGCATGCAATGGGAGGGACGATGAGGCATGCAATGGGAGGGACGATGGGGCATGCAATGGGAGGGGACAATGCACGATGAGCAAGTGATGCGCGATGAGCAAGAGATGTGCGATGAGCAAGAGATGTGTGATGAGCAAGAGATGGGCGATGAGCAAGAGATGCATCTGAGATGGTGCTGGTTACAGGTTTTCCAGGGCGGTGAGGGCACTGATGCTGTCGGGCAGCGGGCCAGAGATGTTATTTCGTGCTATGCTCCTGGGGCAGGGGA